CAGGAATGAAAAAGGAGACATTACAACCAACACCACAGATATACAAAGAATCATTAGAGACTGCTATAAAGAACTGTATGCCAACAAATTTGAAAACCTGGAGGAAATGGATAAGTTTTGGGACACATATAAACTACCAAGGCTGAACTAAGAAGAAAACCTGAACAGACAAATAACAAGCAACAAGATTGAAGCAGCAATCAGTACTCTCCCAACAATGAAAAGCCCAGGCCTGGATGGCTTTACTACTGAATTCTACCAAACCTTTAAAGAGGAATTAATACCAATTCTCTTCAAACTGTTCCAAAAAATTGAAACAGAGGCCATTCTTCCAAACTCATTCTATGAAGACAGCATCACTCTGATATCAAAACCAGATAAAGGTAGAACGAAAAAGAAAAAGAAAACCATAGGCCAATATCTCTGATGAACATAGACATAGAAATCCTCAACAAAATATTAGCAAACAGAATACAGCAACACAACAAAAAAATTATACACTGTGATCAAGTGGGATTCATCCCAGAACTGCAAGTATGGTTCAAGACATGCAAGTCAATAAATGTGATTCATCACATCAACAAAATCAAAGACAAAAACTATATGATTATCTCAATAGATGCAGAAAAAGCATTTGACGAAATTCAGCATCGCTTCATGATAAAGACTCTCAGCAAATTAGGTATAGAAGGAAAGTATCTCAACACAATGAAAGCCATATATGACAAACCAACTGCCAATGTCATCCTGAATGGGGAAATGCTGAAAGTTTTTCCCTTAAGGACAGGAACAAAACAAGGATGCACACTCTCTCCACTCCTATTTAACATAGTATTGGAAGTATTATCCAGAGCAGTCAGGCAAGAGAAAGAAATAAAGGGCATCCAGATTGGAAAAGATGAAGACAAAGTGTCCTATTTGCAGATGATGTGATCCTATATAGAAAACCTAAAGACTCTGCCAAAAAACTCTTAGTGCTGATAAATGATTTCAGTAAAGTTGCAGGATATAAAATCAACATGCAAAAATCAGTAACATTTTCATAGTCCAACTAGCAGAGAAAGAAAGCAAGCCCATTTACAATAGTCACAAAAAATAAAAAATAAAAAATAAAATAGGAATCGATCTAACCCAGGAGGTGAAAGATCTCTACAATGAGAACTACAAATCACTGTTGAAAGAAATTAAAGAGGACACAAAAAGATGGAAAGACATTCCATGCTCTTGGATTGGAAGAATTAACATTGTGAAAATGTCCATACTACCCAAAGTGATCTACAGATTCCATGCAATTCCCATAAAAATACCAATGACATTCTTCACAGAAATAGAAAAAAACAATTCTAACATTCATACAGAACAACAAAAGACCCTGAATATCCAAGGCAATCCTGAGCAAACAATAATAATAAAGCAGAAAGCATTACACTACCTGACTTGAAATTATACTACAAAGCTATAGTAACCAGAACAGCATGGTACTCGCATCAAAACAGACACTCAGACCAATAGAACAGACTAGAGAACCCAGAAATAAATCCACATACTCAGAGCCAACTAATATTTGACAAGGGCAACAGGAGCATACATTGGGGAAAGGATGGCCTCTTCGATAAGTGGTGCTGAGAAAACTGGACATTCATATGAGAAGAATGAAACTAGACCTGTACCTCTCACCATATACCAATATCAACTCAAAATCAATTAAATACTTATATGTAAGACCTGAAACTATGAAAATACTAAAAGAAAACATAGGGGAAACACTTCAGGAGGTAGGACTGGGCAAAGACTTTATGAATAAGACCAAAACCAAAGGCAACCAAAGGAAAAATAAACAAATGGGATTATATCAAACTAAAAGGCTTCTGCACAGCAAGAAAAACAGTTAACAGAGCAAAAAGACAACCTAAAGAATATGAGAAAATATTTGCACATTATGCATCTGACAAGGGAATTAATATCCAGAATATACAAGGAACGCAAACAACTTAACAGTAAAAAAAACAAGTAACCTGATTTACAAATGGGCAAAGGAGCTGAATAGACATTTTTCAAAGGAAGATATATTGACATTTCTCAAAGGCCAACAGACGTGAAAATATGCTCAACATCACTAAGTATCAGGGAAATGCGAATCAAAACCACATGGAAATATCATCTCATGCTAATTAGACTGGCCATTATCAAAAAGAAAGAGAATAACAAATGCTGGTGAGGATTTGGAGAAAGGGGAACCCTCCTGCACTGTGGACTGTAAATTGGTGGAGCCATTATGGAAAATGGTATGGAGTTTCCTCAAACAACTGCAAGTAGAACTGCCATATGATCCAGCAATCCTGCTGCTGGGTGTACAGCCGAAGGAATGGAAATCATCGTGTCAAAGGGACACCTGCACTCCCATGTTTATCACAGCTCTATTTACAATAGCGAAGAGTTGGAACCAACTTACATGTCCATCAATGGGAGACTGGATGAGGAAAACGTGTTACATGTACACAATGGAATACTGCTCTGCCATAGAAGGGAATGAAATTCTGCCATTCTCAGTGACATGGATGAACTAAGAGAAAATTATGTTAAGTGAAATAAGCCAGGCACAGAAAAAGAAATACCTCATGTCCTCACTCATAAATGGGAGCTGAACAAAAAAATAAATACACAAAAAAAGAAAAAACAACAATCACAATAATTCCTTGAACTTTCAAAAGGAGAGAACAGAACTGAGGCCACCAGAGGTTTGAAAGGGGGAGGGGGGGGGATTAGGAAGAAGTTGATAAAGGGCCACAAAAAATGTTTACATTGTGTAGTGATGTTATAAACAAATAAAATAAAACATTGTATTAAATTTTCTAAAAAAGGATACACCTGCTACAATCTGTCTTTACACAAAGTGCTTTGGAATATGCTGTAGTTTATTTCGTATCTTTTATAATTGATGTTATAATTAAAGTTAGGAAATTGATGACAACAGTAATACAACTTCAGAAAATACAAACTGTTGCACTTACTTCTCACACCAGCCTAAGAAGTAACTCTTTCCACTCCTGTTTTATAGATAAGACTAATTTGGGCTCAAACTCAAATTAATTCACCAAGGCAGTAGCGGAGTGGATCCAGGGGCTAGATGATGCTTTAGGCTAGTCGCGGAGTCCTGCAGCCTGTGCTGGCCTCACTGCAGGGCTCCAAAGCCTTGGTGCCTTGCCTTCCTCAGCTTGTAAAACAGACATTTGCCCTTGGCAACATTTACCCTTTCCAGCAACTCAGCGCAGCCACAGGGCCACGCCCCCCACCAAAGAGACAGTGCAGGTGAATTGCTGGAATAACTCATGGCCCAAAGCCGGACTGTCTGATGAGAGTCATAGTTACATTCCCAGCCATTTTATCCCTTTAATAGACCATTTAATTTTCTCAGCCATTTTTGGATCAATGTATTTGGATGATGTAGTCATTTAACAGACCCAGAATTAACTCTTTACCAGAGCTGACAATACTCAGATCATGCAGTAATGGTCATATTTAAAGAACTGTTTCAAATATTCCTCCAAAAAAGTCAAAATGCTTTAGAGACGTTTGAGCAGATCATCTCAGGGCCAAGACTGATGTGTGGCATGGATGGTCTTGTGATGTGTTCCCCCCATCACTGTCCGGATACAATTCAATAAGTTACAGCAAATGTCATTTACTTCCCTTGAAGCTCTCTTCACAGAAGGAACGTAGTTCTCCAAATGTAATATTACTTTAAGTGTCGTACAGGGGTTCATTCTATCTCTAATGTTAAGCATCAAGAATTATTTTGTAATTCATTTACACAACATCCCCGTGTTCTAATAGAAATCTCTCATTTACCCTAGGTCCCCCTAACCCAGAGAACAGGCATTCATCTGTTGAATTCCAGCCAACTAGGGCATGTCTACAGTTGTGGGGGGGTAGAGAGTAAGGGTCAAATTGCTTTATTTAATACAGTGTATACTACAGTGTCTTACACCCAAATGGAACTAATGGTAGCTAATAGAAAATGGAGTCTGCTTTCTAATTCCAGATATGGAAATAATGTAGGAAATGAACTGTACTCGTATAGCTAAATATATATATATATGCTTTAGGTTCCTACTTATCCAAACTCTTTAGAAAATATAATATTCTGAAGAGCAGAGATGCCATATACAAGGGGTCTTCTAAAAGTTCATGGAAGGATTCATATTATCTCTTTTTTTTTTTTTTTGTCTTTTTTTCGTGTCCGGCAACAGATCGCAACCCTCAGTGTTGCGCCCGTACCGGACCGGGACCGGCAACGGGATCGCAACCCTCAGTGCTGCACCCACACCTCGCTCAGCCAGTGAGCGGGAACCGGTCTGTATGTGGGATCCAAACCCTCGGCGGGAGCGCCACCGCGCTCCCAAGCGGCACACTGTAGCAGTGTGCCACCAGGCTGGCCCATATTATCTTTTTTTATTATTATTTTTTTTGACCAGTAAGGGGATCGCGACCCTCGGCATGGTGTTGTCTGCACCACGCTCAGCCAGTGAGCGCACCGGGCATGCCTACATAGGATCCGAACCTGTGGCCTCGGCGCTACCAGCACCGCACTCTCCCGAGTGAGCCACGGGGCCAGCCCAGATTCACATTATCTTTTAACTCAGTTTTTCCACAAACTTTTTGAAGTGCCCTATGTGAATTTCTAATTTTGAAAGTTTGTAAACATGCTTATAATTACCACATTAAAACTATACTGACCGTGGTTCTAATTTTTCCTCGTCAGTTCACAAGGGACTTGTGGACCTACACACCTCAGAGTCACTGATATGTATGTCTCATGGTTCAAGATTCCCCAGAGGACAGCTTTTAGTGATTTGGCTTCCTGCTCATTTGAATTACAAATAAACCGGAGGAGGCTTCTCACGTGCCCCTTCTGTGATGAGACATACCTTTGCAGAGCTGGACGAGCTCTGCTGCTCCATGCTAACCCTTGTCCTCTGTGTCTTTCTTGGATATAACAGTTTTGTGGAAACAAATCATTCAGCGCAACGGAGGAGTCCTTACTAATGCCTTGAACGTCAGTTGCCTGGCCAAGGTCACTGATGGCTTCACCCAAGGACACATTGTGGAAGTGGTGAAAGATGTGCTCACAGACCAGAGGCTCTGGCAGCAGGGTCGTAAGCCACTCACCGCAGGCGAGTTTATTGCAGTGATGAGCAGCATGAATCCGGTGTATCAAGAGGAGGAAGAGAGCTTTAAGGTAAGCCCAACTCCTCGAGGGATAAATCTTCGCAGCAAACTCCCGTCACACTGCCTCCTCCCTCTGCTTTCCTGGTTTTCATGAATTTGAACTCTGACACATACAATTAAATTTGGAAACTTGAAATTTTTAAATCACAAAATCTTTTGAGCCTCAGCAGTAAAATGTCTTTCAAAATATAGGAAAATCATGGTCCATGACCTTATAAATTAACAGCCAAATTGAGGAAATGAGTAGCAGCTTTAAAAGCACTGGATTCACGCACGCACATGCACGCACGCACATGCATGCACGCACACCCTTCTCCTGGTTTTCACTCCATATGGAACAAGCTTTGCATAGAGAAAACCATCCCCTAAGTAGTATATTTCAAATCAGTGCTGTTTTTGTCCCATATGTGCCATGGTACACCTTAGTTTTTATATTTCAGTGCGTTTTCAATAGGAAACTACAAGGGAACTCACCAAAATTTAGTTTTCCAATCTTTGAATAAATTCAGACACGTTCACAGAATTTTTTAGATCCAGAGGAAACTTTGAGAATCATCTCTTCCAACTTCCTCTTCTATAGGAGGACACGAAGCTGCTGAGAGTTACGTAGCTGGTCCAAGGCACACGCAAAGAGAGCACCCTGGTGCCTGCCAAGCCAGAGGGCACTGCTCAGATGCTACTTGCTGTCCTTTAAGTCGCAATGAATACAGTGTGTTTCCTTTCTGTACCTGAAGGTAGTTTCCTTGGCCAACCAGGAAGTCAAGAGAGGAAAATTATGTCCCTGCAATTGAAGCCACCACAGCATTGGTCATGTGATCGCCAGGAGGAGAATTGAAACTCTCATTCGAGGCTCTTATTTCTGGGATCCTGCTTAAGATTAGGAAAATTTCCCTTTACAACGTATCACTTTTCCATCAAGTCTAAAAACTGTTTTCTCCCTGGTCTGCCCCTAATGCTTCAGTGTAAGGTGAAAAATAGTGGTAATAACTATTCCAGCAATAATGGTCTAGCGCAGGGGTTGGCAGACTTTCTGTAAAGGTTCAGACAGTAAATATTTTAGGCTTTGAGAGCCATGCAGTCTCTGTCACAACTGTTCAGTTCTGCATCAGAGTTCAAACGCATCCCTACACCATACGTAAATGAATGGGCATGGCTGGGTTCCAAGAAAATTCTATTTGCAAACACAGGCAACAGGCCAAGTTTGGCCCGTCAGCAATGTTTTGCTGGCCCCTGCTCTAGCAAAACTGAAAAAAAAAAAAAATACTTCCAACTCCAGCTGAGTTTTTGCCAAGCATTTGGATTAATATTCTTCTTAACTATTTAATTCTTGTTTGTATCAGTTGCAAATATTTATCCTCTTCAGGTGATATATCATAATCTCTTCTGAAATTCCCAATTTTTTCTTCTTTCTAAAGTGTTAATTTTCCTCCTCATTTTGAGGAATTAAATTTAGGATGTTAAAATCTACACTTTCTCTTATCTGGGTTTTTAACCTTCCAAAGTGGTCTCCAGAAGCTTTTCCGTGCGTTTTAGGTGTTTGAGGTCTGATCACATCATTCAAGAGGAGGAAATATTACCATTTTATGACCTGGGATGAGAGTGCATGTGCTTCTCACACCCGTTCTTGGAGTATTCGATCAGTTTATCCATTTTTTTAAGGAAAATTAAATCATTTTCCCACTGTTACCCGGTACCTCTTTTTTTTTTTTTTTTTTTTTTAAAAAAGATGATCGGTAAGGGGATCTTAACCCTTGACGTGGTGTTGTCAGCACCACGCTCTCCAAGTGAGCTAACCGGCCATCCCTATATAGGGATCCGAGCCCGTGGCCTTGGTGTTATCAGCACCACACTCTCCCGAGTGAGCCACAGGCCGGCCCTGTTACCCAGTACCTCTGGTCCATTTCTGCTTCTATCGTAGCACCAGTGCTGGGCACAGTGCCTGGCCCCAAGTAGGTGTTCAAGAAATTTGTTTAATAGCACACTTATTGAGCAGATGGATAATGGAATGACACTGTCACACTCCGAATTATGTGACGCCATTGCTGTAGTTGCTCATAATCTGGCCTATTGTGTTTGCCATGAAAAATTTTACCTAATTGTGCTTCTGACAATGTGTCAGACTAAGATCTTGCAGATTCCGCAAACACATTCTTCCCTCCTCCTTTGGCATGATGGAGAAAATACTTAATGATGCTGATGACAATCATAATAACGTTAGCTAGTACTTACTGGCTGCTTATTCCATACCAGCCACTGTATTAACTCATTCAGACCTCACAACCCCCCTATTTTGTAAATAAGGACACTGAGTTATAGAGAGGTGTGGTAGGCAGAATAATCACCCCTCAAAGATGTCTATGTCCTAACCCCTAGAACCTGTAAATATGTTAGGTTAGATGGCAAAGGGGAATCAAGGTAGCAGGTAGAGTAAGGATGCTAATCAGCTGAACTTAAGATAGATTATCCTAAATTATCCTAGTGTGTCCCATGTAATGATAAAAAGTGGAAGAGGGAATCGGAAGAGAGAACCAGAGAGATAGCAGCTTGAGAAGGACTCATCGGTACTTCAAGTAGCCCAACGTTGCTGGCCTGCAGATGGGGTAGGGACCTCAAGCCAGAAAAGCAGGTGGTCTCTGGAAGCTGCAAAAGGCAAGGGAACAGATCCTCCCCTAGAGCATCCACAAAGGAACACAGCCCTGCAGACACCTAGACTTTAGCCCATTTCAGACGTCTCACCTACAGAACTGTAAGATAATAAATGTGCTGTTTTAAGCCTCTAAATTTGTGGTAATTTTCCATAGTGGCAATAAGAAAAAAGCAATGCAAGAGGCAAAGTAACTTCATTGCAGATCACACAGCTAAAAAGCAACAGAGCTGAGGGCCGGCCCGGTGGCGCACTGCTATAGTGCGCCGCTTGGGAAGCGCGGTGGTGCTCCCGCCAAGGGTTCGGATCCCACATACAGACCGGTTCCCGCTCACTGGCTGAGCGGGGCGCGGGAGCAACACCGAGGGCTGTGATCCCGTTGCCGGTCCTGGTCCGGTACGGGGGCGACACTGGGGGTTGTGATCCATTGCCAGACACGGAAAAAGACAAAAAAAAAAAAAAAAAAAAGCAACAGAGCTGAAATTCATACCTCATTCTCGTCAATTTTATTAACTATATTCTATAATATGTCTCAATAAGTTAAGAGTTCATCGCTTTAAGAATTTGGCCAACTCACAGAATCGAGGCTAAAAGAAGGAAGAGGAAATCCCCAAGTGCCAGAAGCAAAGGTAAATCTCAAAGACAGGAACAACCATATGAGATAATGTGTTGGTGGCCTAGGGGAGTATAAAATCCAAACACAAAGACATCCTTAGCTGCACATAAGATAAAATGCTGGAACCACATGAAACTGGGACACTTGATAGGCTGCAACAAAGAAGCATCATGGAACTTGTGATCTTCTCAGGGCTCTGGATGGAGAACAAAGGTGTTCCATAAGAAATCAAAACCCAGGTCTATGCCATGCACATCAAGGTTCCAAATTTATAATCTTCAGTGGTGCCAGAATCCCAGCACCAATTATAAATATATTAGTATTTTAACTTGGGATTCTGGTACCATGGAGGTAGTATATAAATTTGAAACCTTGATGTGTATGGCATAGGCTTTCAAAATATTAATATTTTGAAATATTAATATATTTCAAAAAAATGATATGGTATCATTAAAACTCCTAAAGTCATATCAAAAGCAAATGTAAAAACCACTCTGTATGGACCTTTGTCCAAGTCAGGATACATAGGACTCCTACAGGAAACGCTACTCTTGCTAAAGGTGAACTCATAAAATAAAAAAATTATGAGCTGCAAGGAAATAATCTACCAGGGGGAGAGTCAGCAGATACAAATAACAGAATTAGCACCTCTAAGAACTTGAGATAATAAAACATTCTAAAAGAGACAACAAAATAAGTATGTTTAAATTATTAAACACCAGAAACATTATGGGGGAAAAAACAGAAAAATTTGAAAAAGAACCAAATAGAACTTATGATAGTGAAAAAATATAGTCATTAAAGTTAAAAACTCAATGAATGGGTTATCTGTGAATTAGACACAACTAAAGAGAAAATAAAAGAACCAGAAAGGGGAGCAAAGAAAATTGCCTAGAATGGAGCATAGAGAAAAATAGAGAACAGAAAACAAAGAGAGTTAAGAGTCACAGAAGATAAAATGACATTATAAAACCTGGTTATGTATTTGGGTTTAGAAGACCTTGTAGAAGCAACCTCAGAACTGCTAAGGAGGGAAGAGTAAGGAGAGAGATAAAGACCAAAACAGAACCTCCCCCTCAAAAGGAATCTGAAAATCAAAATCTCAAAACATTTTAAGAAATCTAATGCTAAGTACAATCTGAAAAAATGTTTAAATTAATATAATTAAGATGTTCAAGAAAATAAATGAAAGTATGACTTCCATTAGAAATATATACAAGGTTTTGAAGCAAAGACAGACCAAAAGGGCGTAAGAAGAGATCATTATGAAAAAATTATTAAAATAAAGCTTAGAAATGAAAAAATATATAATTAACATCAAATGGCAAGAAAATAAAAGAGATATGAACTCTAAACCAGATATGGTCACAGAGCAATTTGTGAACTGGAAAATATCCTGGGGAATAACCCCAGAAGTCAGCACAGAAAAACAATAAGATAAAATTCATAAAAGTAAAGTTTCATGAAAGATTGGTTGAAAGACACTGACATTCAACTAATAGAAGTTCCAAAAGGAAAGAATACAAGAAATAACCTAAATGTCCATCAACAGATGATTGGATAAAGAAAATGTGGTATATATTCATAATGAAATACTACAAAGTCATAAAAAAGACTTTAGTATGACTATATAAAGTCAGACTATAGTATGACTTTATAAAAAAATTTCTTCTGCCATTTGCAGCAACATGGATGAGCTTGGAGAGAATTATGTTAAGTTTAATAAGCCAGGCACAGAAAGACAAATACCATATGTTCTCACTCATGTGTGGAAGCTAAAAAAGTTGATCTCATAGAAGTAAAGAGTAGAGGGGTGGTTACTAGAGACTAGTAAGGGCAGGGGGAGGGTGGTCAACAGATAGAAAACAGTAGAGAGATAGGAAGAATAAGATCTATAGCAATATAGGGAGACTACGGTCAACAGCAAATGACTGTATAACTTCAAGTAGCCAGTTAAGATGCTGAATGTTCCCAACACAAAGAGATGACAGATGTTCAAGGTGGTGTATATGCTAAATGCTCTGATAGGCTCATCACACAGTGTATAAATGTATCCAAACATCATGTTGTACTCCATAAACACATACAATTATCATGGGTCAATTAAGAAAAAAAGAAAAAGAAAAAATTTTTCAGAGACAGAAATAGATTAGAGGTTACCAGGAACAGGGGGAAAGGAATAATTAGAAGTATTGCTTAATGGGTACAGAGTTTAGGCTTAGAATGATGAAAAAGCTTTGGAAGTAGATAGAGGTAGTGGTTACACAACATTATGAATTTCATTAACTCCACACACTACATGTTTTAAAATGCTTAAAATGGCAATCTTTGTTATATATGTTTTACCACAATTTTTAAAAAAACTTTAATAAAAGAAAAAAAAACAAAAGCAGAGATTTATGGAAGATACTGACATTCAACTAATAGAAGTTCTAGAAGAAAAGAATACCAGAAATAACAGAGGAACAATTTTTTCAAGAAACACTTGCTGAGAATTTTCCTGAATTAAAGACATGAGTCATCAGATTAAAAATAAACTGCAAGTAGCCATTAGAACATGTAAGAACAAATCCACACATAGACACATCATTGGGAACCTAAAAAACAAGATGATAAGGTAGTCGGAAAAGCTACCAGATTACCTACAAAGAAACAATTGGGAAATCAGACTTCCCCTTGAAAATAGATGCCAGAAGACAATGAGATCATATCTGTAAAGTACTGAGGAAGATAACTGTCTACCTCATTTTTATACCCAGCTAAACTAGAATCCAAGAGACAGAAGAAAATACAGACATACAAAGACTGCGATCGGTACTCACTCACGGCACCACACAGAGCACTTTGGCAATATCGGGGGAGTGGAAGGTGCTCATGCCCCACAGCCCAGGAATTCTACTTCTGTGTATATGCTCAAGAGAAGTTCTGTCACAGGTATACAAGGAGACATGTAAAAATTGTGAACTTCAACACTGTTCATAATAACAAAGAATTAAAAATGACTTTTATGTCTGTTAATAGGAGAACTAATAAATAACGTGTAGTATAGTCTTTCAATGAAATATTACGACTGTGAAGTTTCAAACCAGATGTTCCTGAGGCTTCAAATAAAATGCAAATGTGGAGAAAAATACCATCACAGGGCCAGTTGCAATCACTAAGCACTTTGGTAGTACTTTGACTCCATGATTTCTGCCACATTTTCAACAGTCTCAGAGTATTCTAGAAGCTGGACTGGTGGCCACTTGTGAACCATGGGGGCCGTTCACATGGCCAAGAAAACTCACACCCTCCGGACATAGTAAGATGCCCAGGAAAATAGGTGACTCGTTTAGGAAGGATTGTTGGGTGGATTTAGCCTGTGGTTATCCAAAACTTAACTCCTCAAGGTGGAAGTTATAAATCGTGCAGAAATACAGGTTGGAAAACCATTAAGAAAGAGTTTGTGTTAAACATGACATTAAATGCCCAAAGTACAGTGGCTGCTTGCCTCTTCTCTGCTTGGCAGGCTTTATTTTTAAGAGCATTCCAGTGAATTTATGTCATTTTGATCTTTTCCTAAATATCTATTTTATTTCAGAACTGGTATGCCAAAACCCCTATGGGTAGAAAGCGAGCCTTGGCATTAACGGGAGGTGGCACAGAAAAGAATAAAGGGAAGAAAGAAAAGAAAGGGAAGAAAGAGAAAAAGAAAAAGTAATGGCTTTCTGAGGAGCCGGCCTTGAGTCTCTCTCTGAGATGGAGACAGCCCAACCCTCCAGAGAGGCGACTCCCCATCGCCCGGCAGAAGCAGCCCCGGGAGGAGACACTGACCGTGCAGCAGGGCCTGGCGCCGCGGCTCGCTGACCACTGCCTGTGCTCGGTGAGGCCCGTGGCAGGCGGGACACCAAGCGAGGGGTCCGAAATAATTGTTGCTATAGCTGGTAATTGTTCTTAATCTATGTAAAGCTTGTATCTAACAGAAATTTACTCTTCACCCACTCCCCAGTCTTACATCAGTCCTATTTGTCAAATTTAAAATTTGATAGTTACAGAATATTCACATTTGATAGATGAGCCATGAGTATATCGTCAGTACACTAACTTTGTGTTAATCCATACACACCGTATATTAGCTTGCACATATTTTGATAAATTAGTTCTTTGCTCTAGTAGTGTATATATTACGTAATGGAATAAAGCTGTTGTTCTGGAATTAACTCAATCATTTGTTTGCTAGAGCTAAAGCAAGATCTTAAAAATGAACTATGTCAACCTCCCGATTTTGAAGATGTGGAAACTGAAGTCCAGGGACACACTGCTCATGTTTGGAACACTGGGGTGGACGTCACTGGCCCAGTCTAGTGCTCTTTGGAAGCAGTGAAACTGGTAGGCCAGTGACTGGACGAAAACCACAACATAAACACGGGGTAAATGCAGAAAAAAGCAAGCCTAAGAGAAGAAGTAAAAAACGATAAATAAGAAAAAGATTAAAGAACAGAAAAGGGTTGGTTAGAGCACGGTGCTGATAACACCAAGGCCCGGGGTTCATTCCCTGTACTGGCCAGCAAAAATAAATAAATCAATAGTAAAAAATAAATTTGAAAGGGTCAGGAGAGAAATTTAAATTTTGTAAGAACACAAAAGGTCCTTGATGCAAGATAACAAGTAACCTGCTTCTAATGTGTGGTAAGGAAACAATCAGAGGAAGGAGACTTAAACTGAGATGGAATGGATTTAATTTGAGTTTTAGGAATGCCCTATCTGGCAGTTTGGGTTTATGCCACAGAAAGTCATAAAATCTCCCACTCTGTATAGGCCAGGTGAGATCTCCACGTTTTCCCAGGATTCCCAATAGCTGGGATCACTAATGCCCAAGAAGACTAGTGGGTTCCAGTGTCTTCTGGCCACCAGCACATCCCCTCAGTCTGTGTGTGTACATAGTAGGCAGTCACAAATTAGGACAGACAGAGACAGCCATAGGCCAATGTGTCCTGCACCTGTCTTTGTCAGTTGCCAGAAAGCATTCCTCCTGAGTCTTCCCTGTTGACCAGACTCTGCTGCTTTCTGGATATCCTTCCATGGAATTGCTTTCTTATCCCAAAAGAACCCTAGTTTCTGCAGACACTGGGCCTGACCTCCCTTCACTCACTTCAGACTATGTCTGGCTAAAGCCCAACATGGCCTAAGAGATAGATGGTCTCCCCAACCTAAACTCTGAGAGCAGTTCATGTCTCCAGGATGGTTCCACCAGATCCTTTCCCATGTCATGGGAAGCAGACATTTCTTGTGACCCAAGAAGAGATTGTCAAGGCTCTAGGATTTGATGTTCATTGCAAAATAATAGGATCTGCACTGTAAAGAAATGAAAAGTAAGGGTAAAAGTAAACAATTTTTTAAAATACCATTTAACTTAGTATTTGTCGAACTAGCACACTTTTTCAGAACTCATACAAATCTGTGTTGGTAAAGTTTAATAAACAACAATTAAATGACAGAAATTTAACTGATACTTTTGCTTTAGAGCAGCATCATTCAACAAAACTTCCTGCAAGGACAGAAATGGTCTAGAACTGTGCTCTCCCCAGAGGAGTAGCCGACAGTCACATGTGGCTACCGAGCATTTGAAATGCAGCTGGTGCAGCTCAAGAACTGAATTTTTAGTTTTTTTTTAATGTTGGTTTAAATTTAAATAGCCACATGTGGCTAGTGTGACTAGTGTATTGGGCAGTGCAACATCAGAGGAATGTGAGCCTTGAACGTAGCGAGGGTGGCCTACGTATCCCTTCAGCCCACTCCCTGTCTTCTCCCAGCCCACTAACGTCGAGACCTGCTTTCCCCCAGACACTGCTTTCTCCCAGATGATGACTTCCCGCCCTTCCCAGGCTGGGCTTGTGCTCTAGTTCCACATGGGGCCTTGGGCCTGTCTAAAACCTTGGCTAGTGTCAGCCAGCACCCCCTCCTGGTTACCAGGGACCGTGACGTGGCCTCGTGCCCAGGGGCCTTTGGCCCTGTTGGTGGAGGCTGCTGTTCTGCAGTGCCCACCGAACAGACCCTTATATGCCACTCGCTGCTGGCTCCACAAGAGCCCGGCACTGCATAGCTCACGCATGCTGGCACTTACGGCCTCCTGCTCTGCTTGAGGGGGGTGCGTATGCATGTACACCCCCCCACACACACACGTGTACTCCACCTTTTTACACAAATGGTGACACACCGTATCTCTTTTTCTTTTTTTTTTAAATATTATTTTTTTACATTCTATGCTGCTGTTGCAGAGCAGTTGAGAGGGAGAGGAAGAGGGGAAAGAGGAAGGAAATGGGACAGAAGGAGGAAGTAGGAGGGGGAATTGAGGCCTGTGGCACCCTCCTCATTCCCACAGGGAAGACCAGGGGGCTTCTCGAGGTGGCTTGGTCATTACTGGGCTGGGTGTAGATGTCAGGGGGGTGTGGCAAAAGCTCTCATCCCCCACGACCCCAGCTCAGGAACCAGGGGCCCTTCTTGCTGCAGCTTGGTGGTCGTTGCTGAGCTGGTTGCAGGTGTTGGGGGGCATGGCCAAGGCCACCCACCACCCCAGCTTCAAGAGCCTGGGGTGCTTCCTGCAGGAGCTCAGTGGTCAGCACTGGGCTGGTTGCAGGTGTTGGGGGAGCATGTCTGAGGCCCTTGACCCCCACCACCACCCCAACTCAGGAGAGCCTGGGGCACTTTCCTGTGGCAGCTTGGTGGTTGCCACTGGGGTGGTTGTGCATATTGGGGGTGTGTGGCCAAGGCCTTTGGCTTCCATCCTCGGGACTGATTGCGGGTGTCAGGGCAGCATGGCTGAGGCTCCCGACCGTCCCCCTTTTCTGGCTTGGTAGCCCAGGGGACTTCCAGTACTTCTAAGTGTTACAGGTGTTCTTTGGTGAAATGAGACCTTTACTAGTTAATATAAAACTCTGTCTCTGGTTATGGGTACTTTGTTTTTCTTTCAGTTCTGGGTTGTATTATTTGCTGTTCCCACCACTTAAACTCTAATTTGTTGTCCTTTGCTTACTTCTAAAATGGGGGAACTTCCGGTAGGGACCAGTACTTGAGCCCTGTGGTTGAGCTAAATTGCCACCTTGCTGTAGATTCCCTGGGGAAAGCTTCTTGTGAAGCTTAGGTTTTAAGGGTTGACTTTATAGGTAATTTTGGGTCTAGTGAAATCCAGTGCACCTGTATAGAAACTATGGTCTGGGCCTGAGTCTTCTCATCAGACTGCACCCCATGAGATTCTGTATTCCTGACCAGTCTCCTCTGAGTGGTCCTGTGCTGATTTGGGAGCAGATCAGCTGTCCTTGCTGTGCCCCAGTATTCCCCCTGTGGGCCCGTCTCCCCCACCACCCATGCTCTAAACACTTCCCATGGGACAGGCTGTGCTCTAGTCCCTCACGATGACTCACTGGCCTCTAAGTGGCTCCTTTTTTTCAGCTGTTGTGGCTCCTCATTCCTATGCAGGTCCACAGGAACCCTGTTAGTGGTCTTGCTAGCCTGGGAGCCACCATGACCCTCTTCTCCCCTGCTGCCTCCAAGCAACTTCATCCAAAAGGCACAGTTGCAGCTTTTGCCACCTCCTGCTCTATGTGCTCAGCAGCTCCAGCCTGGATGCAGCCAGGGCTTGAAATGGTCACAGCAGTTCTTTCTCTCATCATGGCTTCTCCCACCTTCATGAACTCCATAGGTCTCTCCTCCTCTTCCTCTGAGCTCTAGTGGCCCCAGCTTGGCTGTCATTGCTTTTTTATAGTTGTAAATTGGTTGATTTATGGGAGAGAGTGATGCTGGGGACCGTCTATTCCACCATCCTGACCAGAAGTCCATATCTCTTTGTCTACCCCTTTGTTCTTTTTGCCTAGTGATATAGCTTGGATGTTGTTTCCTATCAACACATGTAGATGTGGCCTCATTTATTATTCCTTATATGGCACCCCACTTTATGGATATATTCCATGAAATGCTCTTTGACATTTAGGTTATTTCCACCCTTTTGCTGTTCCATCCATGCTTCAGTGAATGCTCTTATATATCTATATCTATATCTACATATACATCTACATCTATATCTATATCCATGTCTATATCTACATATATAAATTCTGTAGGATAAATTCCTAGAAGAGAGATTACTGGGCCACATTCCCTGTGCGTTTTCATTTTGGTAGACTGTCCTCTAAATAGGTGCTCGTCACAGCACCCGGTTGGGAGAGGGCCTGTAACTCACATTGTCCTCCACAGAGCAGGTGTTCAAACTCTGTGAGCCTGCTGGTGATCCACATTTAAAAGCCAGTCGCAGCTGGCCTGTTAGCTTAGTTGGTCAGAGCGCAGCCTTATGATCACAAGGTCACAGGTTCAGATCCCTGTACCGGCCAGCCACCAAAAAAAAAAAAAAAAAAAAAACCCAGTCTCCCCAGACAGATCCTGCAGCAATGTGCTGTAGCCCTCATTTCTAACTGACGTGGAAACAACAGCAGCACTGGTGAGCGGAATGGACATCGGGCCTCATGTTGGTGGAAGGACAGAGGGACTGGTGGGAAGACGGGACACAGACTTTGGAGTCTGGGAAGGCCTGAGCTATTCCTGGGCCATTATGTGACAATTAGCTCCTTTTGAGCATCTTTTTAAGTGAAGGGGACAGTAATAAATGTCACTAGCCCTCATTAAGGGAACGTTCTATAGACTGGAACATGGTGACAACGGCAGTGAAGTTCTCGGTGGCTCTGCACTTGGCCTGCACTTAGCAATAAGCAGATCCCAGGTCCAAAAACCACTGCCTGATGTCACGGCATTCTCCTGAGACTGTCGGGGCTGAAGTAAGCAGCTTTGATCAAAAACAGCAAGTTAAAAGACCCCACTGCTAAAGAATCTACTTTTGAGTATCTTCCTAAACATATATCCACATTTAATACAAAGACAGGAAATACAGTATGTGGTCACAGGGCTATTTCACAAGAGTGACACTATTTTTAACCACTAATGATGCTGTGAAACCCAAACTACTGAGATAAGTGGCTTCTGATGTTCTTGAAAGTCTTAAAGTTTTCATTTAAGAAAGGCGTGGGATGATGCTAACACAAGCAGAAGAAACAGTAAAAGATCGTGGGTGTGAAACAAGCTGGCAGCTATCTGCACAGGAAGATTCGGAAAACCAAAAGGACCTGAGCCCAAAATACGTGTTTCAGCACCTGAAATCTGCACCTTTAG